CAAAATAATACAAAAAAAGAACACTTACCCTTTATTTGATTTTTACATTATCAACTACAGGACTGTAATATGGAAATAGGGTTGACCTTTGTTGCTTTATGATAGCTTAATTAGCAGAATAACGTATCATTTTTCTACTCAAATGATATTGCAATCATTAGGGTCCTTCTCATCTAAATGAAGTCCAGGTTATTTATATTGGTTTCCTTATTTAGGCATGATGTGGCCCCTTACAAAACACTAAACAGTTCTGTATCCCAAATACAGTGCAGAAGATAGATTTTTCTCTATTTGTTCTTTATCATAAGTAAAGTGGAAATAAAATACATTATTCTGCCTCAGGTCTGGTACAAACTTAAGATTTATCAATGGTTTCTTAGCAGGAGCATATGTGGTATCAACTCCTAGTAAAACCTGGCAAATAATGATAAGCCGGAACTCTGAGCATAGCTATTCACAAGAGAGAAAACCCTATTCTTCTACAGCTATTTGGAACAGGAAAAATAATTACAGAATGATCACATTGTGCTTCAAAGCAACTGTCTAACATAATTCTCACCAATGTAATGCAGGTTTTAGAAAATAGTCATTTTAAGTAAGTCCTTTCAGTTCCATCATCCTTTAAAATTATGCACATTCTGTCATTTCTAATGGGAGTTTATCATAAAAGATATTACATATAATACATGTTTTCTGTATCATCCTGCTTCCTATTCATGTTATTTTAAAGGAAGAAAAGTGAAGAAACGCATAATATTTAGGATAACTTTGGTTTGGACTGAAATTCTAAATATTCCTAATATTAAATATATTACATTTTTTTTCTTTTTACGACCCTGTAGTCCCTTAATTCTGGGTAGAGTTGAGGATATTGGCTGGAGCTGAGCATTTACTGGCCAGATGCCGTTCCTGATGCCTATGTGGAGTTCACAGATGTTTTTCCATTGCGTCCTAAGGGTGAAACACCTGCCACTTGAATGTTCAACCTTCTAGTTGGGAGGCGAGCGTTTTCACCATTAGGTTACCATACCACTCAATTAAATTAAATTAAACAATTACATATATTACATAAATATATAATAATTATATGATTTTTTAAAAAAGAAACAGGAACATAGAAGCAATAAGTTAATCATGTGTTTATGTATGATCCTGGTATTCTCTGCCCTGCAATAGCAACAGAGGAGATAAAAAACTTCTGCTGGATTCAACCCTGCTAATTTTTGAAGCACTGATTTTGTGTTTAATTATACATTATATCGGCAATTTTTTGAGAATGTCCACAAGGCTTTCAAGTCAATTTCAGAGGCATCCTACAAATTGATGTATATAACCCTGAACAAAACAGGTAGACCAGTAGCTCAATAGAGGAGACTTCCTCTATATGTTACTAGACAATCCAATTCCTTATCTAAACAGAGAAACAGAATAATCAAGACTGGGGGGGAAATAGTGGGACCTGGAACAACTTCCAACTTCAAAGGATCAAGGGATTATGAGAGTGGCTGGGAAACTGTCATGGAACACTCAAAATGTTCCATCAGAAGCATGGCAGATCTGAAGCAGCAGCAGGCCAACAGCACCGAAGCAGCCAAAGCATTCCCAAATTTCATTTCCTTGGGAGTCATGGGCCCTGGATTTTGGACGCATTCTGGAAGTTAGCCTATTTGAGGTACCTTGATACCTTGGTTCACAGGTTGCCCTTTGATGCACCATTTCAACCAGTTAAAGGTTATGGGAGCAACAGTTTTAATAGTATAAAGTTATATTAAGTTATAATAGTATAACAGTTATAAATAACTATTACTAATGCAATGAATGGCATTTTAGTAGCTAATACAGTCCTCATGGCAATCAGAGAAAATTGAAATGGAGAGGAAAGAAGAAAATGAATTCAGAAATCAATTCAGAAATTAATTCAGAAATATACTCTATGTTGACCAAAGTAACAAGCTATTTGTATTGTGAATATTTCATTTGTTTCACCTTTTTAAAGCTACTTTACATTATGCATTTTTAAAGCTACTGATAAATATATATTTATTATTTACAATCACTATGTTTTCTGTTGTGATTGATTAGACCATTGTGAAAAGAAACCCAGTACAGTAAGACAGGCAACTATTCCCGGAATCACTAGTTCAAAAGGGAAGTCTTCCTTAGGATATTCTAGATCAATGGGGGATGTCCTACATTCACACAATATCCATGGTTATTATATAGTACAGAAGAATTATAATATACCTTCTTTAAATTAGGTTATCTTGTGTTAGCCTAATATTTAAACTTTGATTAAAATTTGTCTCCTACCTTGCTATTACCATCAGAAATGCTATCTGTTTCAACCATGAAAACTGCATGTTTTATTGCCACAACAAGGTATATTAGCATACCAAATAACATGGTACCGAATGATATGCTAGAAAACTGATATATGGCAGAGAACTGTATTTTCTGGTGGGCTGTGCATAGAGGCCATCCATAAAGTCATAATATATCTCAGACCCAAAAGTCTACATTGCCCCTCCCAATACCCTAAAATGGCTTGCTAGGTTCCAGTAAAAAAAAATAAATCTATTGATTATGGTAAGCCACAGCATCAATTTGATCCTCTGCAACAATCTCAGAACGTTTTTTTTTTTTAATGAAAACTGAGATTTAATCATGTTGCTGGATTCAGCATTAGTTGCTGTGTTCACCCCTAGGCTACAATAAAAGAGGATAAACAGAGGAAGACTACCAAACTGATTGATATTGCATTACTGCTGGATGAGAGCATAGATACTAGCAAAGTAATATGGTGAACTTTCTAAGGAGTAGTCAAGCTTTTCAAATATGCTTTTATAAGACCTAATTAAACGTCAGCGGTCAAAACTTCTATTAAGGTTCAAATGCTTGAATCGTTTCAGACATCAACCTCAAATAAATCTTCCTTGAAACAAAGTTTTAGGGCATTGGGAAGCAAAATGTAAAAAGAAAAGGGAAGGAAAAAGAGCCATATTTCATCGCTCTAAAGATCCATCATTTTCAGCATTAGAACTGCGCATTCATTTCTTGATAAAAGAAAAATAAACCAAATGAAAAATCCATTTGGTTTATTTTTTTTATTTATTCTGAAAGAGCACAGGAAAAATGATTACAGATGAGTATACTATTTAGGTCTCCAAAAGCATTTCCTCTTGTGTGTGGGATTCACGCTTATTGTCCTCTTTGTTGACAGAGAGATGTGTCCAGGTGCGCTTGGCATGCAATTCCCATCATTTCTCATCATTAACTGACTGATGGGAATTAGAAGTTAACAGAGGGATAGAATCAAGATCACGTGAAGTATTAATACCACTTTACAATGCCTTGGTAAGGCCACACTTGGAATACTGCATCCAGTTTTGGTCACCACGATGTAAAAAAGATGTTGAGACTCTAGAAAAAGTACAGAGAAGAGCAACAAAGATGATTAGGGGACTGGAGGCTAAAACATATGAGGAACGGTTGCTAGAATTGGGTATGTCTAGTTTAACAAAGAGAAGGACAAGGGGGGACATGATAGCAGTGTTCCAATATCTCAGGGGCTGCCACAAAGAATAGAGAGTCAAGCTATTCTCCAAGGAGCCTGAAGGCAGGACAAGAAGCAACAGATAGAAACTGATCAAGGAGAGAAGCAACCTGGAACTAAGGAGAAACTTCCTGACAGTTAGAACAATTAACCAATGGAACAATCTGCCTCCAGAAGCGGTGAATGCTCCAACACTGGAAGTTTTTAAGAAGAGACTGGACATCCATTTGTCCAAAATGGTGTAGGGTTTCCTGCCTAAGCAGGGGGTTGGACTCGATGACCTACAAGGTCCCTTCCAACATCATCATCATCATCATCATCATCATCATCATCATTATTATAAAAAAGCAGGGTATATGTTGCCTGCCCATTTTTGACAAAAGCAGCTTATTGCAGTGATGTCAGTACACAGCTTTGAGCCACTGCAAATCAAGTAGATCCAGGCAGAGAGTACAGTATAATATAATAAATGAGGTCTTGGTTTTTATTTAAGAATACTACATTCAAGTCACTCTTTGAGTAAGGAGTTCACTGAACGATTCTCAGACTGTTATATCGTAGGACTATTGTGGTGAGGGTAAAATTAAAGGATACATTATTTAACCTCAAGTTCCCAGAGAAAAGGCAGGATTCATATGTAATAAAATTATATGAATAAAAAAACTGGTGATAGCTACATCTCACTTTGAAGCAAAGTTGGTTCAGATAAGTGGGATTTCTTGGTTTTCTATATAAGGTTATTGAAGGGGGTAACACAGCAAGTATGCTATTCATGAATAAAGTAATAAAAACTATTGGCTATTTTAAAAAGGTAATAGTCTTTCACACATATATTTTTAGCTGTTTGAAATGTGTTCATTTCAGATGTTTCAACATTTGGCTTTAATAAATGAAATACACATCAGAGGACAATCCCTCTAATTAAATGCCTTTTAAGCAATGAGGGAAAAAAAGGTACATGGGTAATTCTCAACTCGTGACTATAACTGAGCCCAAAATTATAGTCATAAGTCTTGCGGTTGTAAATTGAGCCATTACAGAACCAGACCCAATTTTTTGACATTTTTTGTGGTGGTCATTAAGCAAACACTGCGGTTGTTAAGCAAATCCATTTTCCTTTATGGGGATTTTTTTTTTGATGGAAATAAACCCGGAAACCGGCAAAAAGTACTGCAAATTGTGGTCATGTGATTGTGGGATACTGCAACCGGTCATAAAGGTAAACTAGTTGCCAGATGTCCAAAATGTAATCATGTGACTGTGGGAGGAAGCAGCAATTGTAACTTTGAAAATGGTTCATAAGTAGCATTGTGGAGATCCATCATAAGTTCAAATGGTCACTAAGCTACCAATTGTAAGTTGAGGACTACTTATAAATTTAACTTTCCCTCTGGAATGTTACATGCTTGACTGTGGCTGATTCATAAACCTTGTGACTGACAAATACCTTTAGCATCATTTAAGGTTGAACCGAAGGCACTAATCACTATATCTGCTCTCAGACGGACAGTTTGCTCCTTGTCTTCATTCCAATTTCCATCCTCATCTTGCTCACTCCGGAGAAATTCCATAGCAACAATTTTCCCTCCTTTTATTACAACTTTCTGAGGAGAAAGAAAAGGTAGAAATTCACACTTTTCTTCCTTTGCAAGCTCCATCTGGAAAACAAAAATAAAATTATGTAAAATTTATAGAAACTGTTTAATATATAATTGTTGGTCTTATAATGTTTCCTTGCAATTTTTTCTATAATTCCAATACATTAATAATGTTATATTTTGATTAAATGAAAACTAGCTCAAATAATATGTGCCAACCAGTTTTACGGATGAGTGGGGTTTTTTTTTAGTTATCAACATCTGTTAAAAGACTTTTGCATTTTAAACCACAAGCGAAAATTAGTTTGATTTTATGAAAAATATTTACCTTACTCTTCATTACTAAAAAAGAATGAATTAAAAGAAAACTATCCAATCAATGCTAGAAAAATCAATTACATTAAATTTCATTACGAAATACTGGCTGAGGTGCCCAAATCTCAAAATTTACAAATGATTTCAATGAAAAATGGGAAGGCTTTTAATGAAAAAAAAATGGACAGAAGCATTTTATTCATTTTTCACTTTGTATTTGAAAGTTAACTTCAAACTACTTTTGCTAAAGTTGAAAGTTCAATCCTAGATAGTGGCAGATGTTTCTCTCTTAGGAGGCAAAGAAAAAAATATCTGTTGTGAACTCTAAGATTAGGCATTAGGAAGGGCATCCAGCCAGTAAGCACTCAGCTACATCCAGTCACCCTGTCTCAACCCCAAATTAAGGGATTACAGGGTTGTAAAAAAGGGAGTTTAGCCTCTATGACACTGATGGCAAACCTTTTAGAGACTGAGTGCCCAAAAACTGGCCCCACCCCTGCTCCACCCCCTGCCCCACCCCATCCGCCATCCCGCCTGCCCACAGGGCCACTCACCGCCTCCAGGGCCCGCCACAGATCACCTAGGCAGCCCAGCAGCACTATGGCGGTCACGCCCTCTGCCCACGCCCCACAGCATCAATTGTCATGTCTACGCTGCCTGGCTGCCATGTCCTTGGCTGTGCTGCTCTGTGTGGACCAAGCAGGGGGACTGCTGGTGAGGAGGGGGCCGCAGGGAGGGTGAGGCTGGGGCAACGGCACATGTGCCCACAGAGAGGGCTCCGAGTGCTGCCTCTGGCACCCGTGCCATAGGTTCGCCACCACTGCTCTATGACAAATAGTTACAATTTTACCAATTCCTATTTCAAATAGCTATACTTTCTTTAATTCTCCCTAAAGAAGTGTATTTAAAGAAATTAAACTCAGGGTTTTTGTTGCTATTGTTGAGAATGGGAAATTGACATGATCCATGTTCAGGTTTTTCTCAACTATAGAATACTATATTTTCAGACCAACTTGGTATTTCAACATATATGTAAGTAACTGAACTGAAACTTCAAGGGACAGTTCCCAGTTTAGGCAGAATGAGCTATTTCTTCAGAAAACTATTATTTAAAACACTATTTAAATTATCTTAAATAATGAATCATATTCTCTCACCGAACCCCTTGCTTAATCAGTGAGACAGCCAGTTTGGACTAGTGGCTAAGTCACCAGGCTAGAAAACAGGAGACCATGAGTTCAAGTCCTGTTTTAGCCATGAAAGCCAGCTGAGTGACTTTGGGCCAGTCACTCTTTCTCGGCCCAACCCAGCTCACAAGGTTATTGTTGCGGGGAAAATAAGAGGAGGAAGGTATGGTGATTATGTTTGGTGCCTTGAGGCATCTGTAAAAATAATAAAGGTGGGATACAAATAAAATAAATAAAGCTTTTGCTCATCACTGTCTTTTTGTAGATCTCTCACTTTAAATATATTGTATATTCATAGGTGTCATTACAGTTCTTCAAACAAAGGCTGGATGACCATTTGTCAGACATCCGGTATTCTAGTGGATCAAGTGGCCTGAAGATCCTTCCAACTGTGTGATTCTATTATTAATAGCGATGTCATAAAAATAGAAGTGGCTGCAAACAAAAGCAGTGAAATTTAATTTGTAATGTCCAACTTCTGTTGGATTTCTTTGAGAACTTAGCAATAGAGAAGACAGAAAGAAACAGGCATGTAAAGGTGCCACCTGAAGTACAAACTAATATTCAAACTCTACATAGAACCACTTTTGCAAGAAAGGACAACACCAGGGCAAATTTGATTAATTTCTTTGGATACAGGGCACAGAGAGCTATGCATTGTCTTGAATTTCAGTATCTTTCCGTATAGCATCTCTAGAAGCAGTTAGCTATCATTCCCCTCAAGGAATGAACACAATTGAGATAATTTTTCTACTTAAGGGAAATCTTCAAGGAGGCATATCTTTTTTTGCCAGCTTAACAGCAATGCACAATTTAGTGTTAAATCAGGAGAATATGTGATAGATGAGGCCACAATTTGAAATAGCTTCAGAAAGGTGAGATCACAAAAGACCAGATCCTAAACTTGAAAGCGTGAACATTCTGATAGCTGCATGAGAGGGGGAGGGGAAAAAATCCACAAGCACACAGCCTTTTATAGCCACAGAGCAATTTTACATACAGCAAAAAACAAAACAAAGCAAGAACACCTGAAGTAATAAAATAGTAATTCATATCTGATGGCACTATGTAGCCAACTGTGACTGATCTCACAAATATTAGGCAAAGCCAGAACCTTGGCTAATACTTGAATGGCAGACCACCAGACCTATTAGGAGTGTAAACTAGAGTAAGATTAAAGGAAAAAAATACATAATTTCCCTAACATGGGATTAGCCCAGATCTTCCAGGAGAGCCTCAAAATATGGCTTTGTCCTTTGGCCTAGGGATACAGTTAGATTTGTGGAGAGCCTATCAGGAAAATGAATGGTGCTGTCCCACAGATTATGGGTTTATGATTTTTAATAGTTGTATTGTTTTGAATTAGTGACAGATTTTATTTTTCTGGGCTCAAAGATCACCTCAGATGGGGACTGCAGCAAGAAATTAAAAGACGCTTTGGCAAATCTAGACAGCATACTAAAAAGTAGAGACATCACCCTGCCAACAAAAGTGTGTATAGTCCAGGCCATGGTTTTCCCAGTTGCAATGTATGGCTGTGAAAGTTGGACCATAAGAAAGGCTGAGCGCCAAAGAATTGAGGCCTTTGAACTATGGTGCTGGAGAAGACTCCTGCGAGTCCCTTGGACTGCAAGGGTTCAAACCGGTCAGTCCTAGAAGAGATCAACCCCGACTGCTCTTTAGAAGGCCAGATCCTGAAGTTGAAATTCAAATACTTTGGCCACTTAATGAGAAGGAAGGACTCACTGGAGAAGGGCCTAATGCTGGGAAAGATTGAGGGCAATAGAAGAATGGGACGACAGAGAATGAGATGGCTGGATGGAGTCACTGAAGCAGTAGGTATGAACTTAAATGGACTCCAGAAGATGGTAGTGGACAGGAAGACCTGGAGGAACATTGTCCATGGGGTCGCGATGGGTCGGACACGACTTTGCAATTAACAACAACAAAATTGTTTTGAATGGTTTTTGTGATTCTATTTTTCTGAGTGTTTTTGTATTTGTAAGTTGCCCAAAGTCATGGTAATGAGAAAGGTGGGCTATATAAATTTAATAAATAAAAAAGACTGATTAAACTAGTACTTTTTCCTTCCTTACCCAAAGCGCTTATCATAGGTAGAACCCTTTGAGTCAATTTAAATGTCCCTGTTGCGATTGGATAATGGTTTGTATGTCATTATCCAAAGAAAAATCACTTTTACCAAATTCTGGGTAATTTGGGAAGCACAGGGTTCAGTCATGGTTCCATCATGCGATGTATGGAGGGAAGACAATCTTCATCTCTGCTTAAGGCAGTAATGTTATTTTGGTCAGCTGGGATTATAAACACTTAATAGGGACAAACTAAAGGCTGTTGGCATTTTCCTACCAGTTACTTCCAGCAACTGCCTGGCCAGCTCTCTGCTCTCCATATGAATGAAGAAGAAAAGGGAATAGGAAGGATGGTGATCCCTGCCAAGCAACACAGATAAGATAAAGAAACAAAGTCAGTCCCCTCCTTTCCTCCATCTCTCTAAGCAACCAATTATTTTTCTTCCATAATGTTTTCTCATCTGGCGTGCTGTGAAAGGCCTGGCAACCGGGAAAGCATTTTGTTGCAAACATACAAGTTGCTAATTATTTCAGTGTTACCACAGCATAGAAAAGTTTTCAGGGAAAAAAATGGGCATGCAACAAAAAAAGATGATGACAAATTAGATATGGAACTTAAAATCTATTCATAGAAAAAAAAAGATTGTGCTTCATTGTGTTTCTTTTCACTTATGATGTGGAAATTATAACTGTGCTAATAGAAAGGGTGGTATATAATCACAATAGCAATTAGGATACTCATAGTTAAAGGTGTCACGCTCTAATGGTTTTGTCCATGACATGCACAAAAGTTGTGTTCAGTCATATTTCATATTTGGAATTATTTGATTTTGCTGAGTGAACTGTTTTTAGAGGACTGTTTGAGACATATATACAGATAGATAGATAGATAGATAGATAGATAGATAGATAGATAGATAGATAGAGAGGGGGGGGAGGGAGGGAGGAGGAAGGGAGAGAATTAAAGTTAGTTAATATTTTAGGCGAAAAGTTTGTCATTTCCAAACAATATTTATTCTCCTGTGATAGGAAATTTATACAGACAAAGACTAGTGGGATGTAATTAGAGTGGTACTGAATTAATTAATGTATTTATTATACTTGTTCAAAATCATCTTTCCCTAAATTTTAATACTATGACAAACACTTCAAAATATGAACTGTGTATCTTGAAATCTTATTTCTTTCTTTAAGTTACCTCTCTCTCCCTTGTGTATCTATTACTGAAGGGAGTGGGCTATTCCCCCATATATTTTCTAGCTGGGGCATATTCAGTGTCTCATTAATGTAAATTATGCAGTACTTCATGGTATGTAGCATATAAATTACAGCAAAGACATTTGATCATATTGCAATAATTAAAACTGAAACTAAAATGCTTTCATGATAAGGCAAATGATTATAAACTGCCAATCAGCAGCTCAGTATGTATAGATGTTTACAGGAACTACAAATTTAATTCCAAATTAAGTTATAGTTTGAAATATTTGCATTTTACTCCTAGATTCACTATTTTAATTTCTAAAGATCTATTATTTTACACACAGATCTATAATTTCTGGTTGATCTTCAGTACATGTTATTGTGTATTATGTCAGTGACTTTGAATTATTCTTCAGTCCAACTATCTTCCAAAATTACGTGTGGAATAGGTGAAATCAGAAAAGACAATGTGATATACACTACCTTGAACTGCTGGAGGGAAGGTAGGATATAATTTGACAAATAAATAAAAATCAATAATATATATCAAGGTAGTCATCAACTTACAACAGTTCATTTACTGACTGTTCGAAGTTACAACAGCACTGAAAAAAGTGACTTATGACCATTTTTCACACTTATGACTGTGGCAGTATTCCCACAATCATGTGATCAGAATTTGGATGTTTGGCAGCTGGCATGTATTTATGACCGTTACAGTGTCCTGGGATCATGTGATCACCTTTTGTGACCTTCTGACAAACAAAGTCAATGGGGAAGCCAGATTCACTTAACAAGCATGTTACTAACTTAACAACTGCAGTGATTCACTTAACAACTGTAGCTAAAAAGGACCTAAAATTGGGCAAAATTCACTTAATAACTGTCTGACAACAACAGAAATTTTGGGCTCAATTGTGGTCATATGTTGAGGTCTATCAGGATTGTCTAAAGCCACAGATTTGATTGATGAGCCTTAACTTACAGGATTGCTAAACTTGGATGTGTTCATGAAACTGGGCACTTTCATCATATCTGTTGCAGTGTAATTCCTCTACATTTAAAGAGTGCTTCAATTCTGATAGGTAGTAGGGTGAATTAACTCTAGAACATACTGTCATTATCATGATGGATGATTCTGGTTTGATCAGTATCACCTTCTTCATTCATAATTTTTCCCCCTAAAGTGCATTCTTATGCACTTTAGTAAGCTTCTAAAGCTAAGACGTTTTGGAAAGAAAAAACAAGGAAGCTGAGTTACAAATATGCTTACGTCCACACATTAAATTATTGTAGTATTGATCAGATCAACATCTGTGAAAGGTCACACTGACCAAACAGTCTGAACAACCTTACAAGGATAGTCCATCATTACAGGATAAGAAAAGTATGCTGAAGGACTAGTCAATTTCAATATTAAGCTCTGTGTTTATGTGGGCAGGCAGTTTATTCTATGTATTCAAGATATGATTTTGATATGAAGTTTTTATACACAATGACAAATGGTATAAGTTATTGCGTTCATGCCTGTGAAAGAATCAACAGGACCAACACTTTCTGTATTGGGTTTACTAGGGCTACAGGAAGAAAAGATGAAGTGAGGTATGTTCCAGAGCTTTAGGACTGGATTGTTCCCACTCCTTTCAACAGTATTACTTCTTTTTATTTCTACACAGTGGCCTGAAAGAACGATCAGGACAGGGAATAAGCACTGATGGTGCTTTGCTTGTAGGGCAGCCCTCATTCTGCTGTGTGATACGGCCTTTCTTTGCAAAAGCTGTTATTTAGCCTGTTTGCTTGGTTTCTTTCTATTTCTAAAATTGTGGAGATGTTGCACAGACCATGCGCAATATGTAGTTTGGGCCTAAGCAAAATAATAATAAATCAGCACGTTGTACTTTCAAGTATTTTTATTAATATGTCCCTCACTGCAATGTTGTGAAATTTACCTCTTCCGGGACAGCCCGTATATTAGTAAATCCTTTCCTGAAGACCACAAAAACACGTCGAGCTCCGCAGCGCAAAGCTGATGTTGCACAATCAAAGGCAGTATCGCCTGCTCCAAGAACAATCACGGTTCCCTGTATTGATGGCAATGAAGAGCGACAGCCGCACATTCCTGAATGATGAAAGGAAAACCCCATTTTCAAGGAGAAAAAACTATTTCTGCATGACAGCTCAAACGACACTTCTACTCGAAGCAGTGTAAAATTGCATCTTGCCGTTTCCAAGCATGGAGAGTCACTATCAAATTATTCTGCTTCATTGAGAGTTTTATTCCCACTTTTAAGATATGCTCATACATGTAATTTCATAGTCAGTACCTTTAGTAGCATTGCCTTCCTGTCTTGGCAGGAAATAAAGTATAATGCACTTGGGGAAAAAAAAAAGAAATTGTACTGCCTTGTCAGATTGAATGCAACCGACTCAAGATTGTTGTGTTCAAAAAATTAAGCCTTTGACTCCTCTCTTGTCAGCATCACAATTATTTGAGAAATGAAAAAGGGAAAAAAAATCCATGTTACAAGATGTTCTGTCCATAACTGGAGTCTAACTTTGACAACGCCAGTTTCTCTTTCAGATTTTATCTAAAAAGTTTCAGCACCAATTTAGACCACATATAAAAGGGAATTAGAGAAATTCAAGGAAGAAAGCCCATTAGTGTCCACTATTCATAAGATCGCCTTAGTCTAAAAATCATTTTGCAGGCCTAAGGAAAACTGCCCATCTATTCCCCATTTTAGGGCCAGATTGTGCTGGAACAACACGCATCTGGAACTTCTGGAGACTGATGAATCACCCCAAAATGTTCAGATTAGTCAGTTCAAGGGAAATACCACATTGTTATATACACAGGATGAAATCACTTCTAGCAATTGTTGAGGGAATGGAAAGTTATTCTGTCTATGGCTTTCTGAAAGACATCTGGTTGGTCACTGTGGAAACAGAAAACTCGTTAACACAGATTTTTTTTCTTCTAATCAGTAGATACTTTTAACACACATCTGCGGTACTCACCATATAGTTCTTTCTTTTTCCCTAAATCACTTTATTATGTTAATAAAGTGTTCTGAACAGAAGACCAATGGGATATAAATCCTTATATCCTTAAAAGTATGATTCCATATGCAGATTAAAAGAAAAAAGATAAAGCTTTCTCTGGAGTTGAAGTCCACGAGTCATAAAAGAACCAAGGTTGCCTACCCCTGACTTATATGCTGAAGGCACACAGAACACTGTTACCTTCCCACTTGAAGTGGTACCTATTTATCTACTTGCATTTGCATGCTTTCAAATTGCTAGGTTGGCAAGAGCTGTTGACACAGTTTGAGACATAATGGAGATAAATCTTAGTATAAATCTGCAAGGTCATAGCCTGAATGTGAACAATGTGGTTCTATGATCTTGATGTTTACAACTCAACAGAAATGTAAGATTATTACGGTTTTTGGTATAATTCTGACTGTTCCAGATTAATTTCTCAAGTCTTTTATTTTAAAAAAGCATTATGTAGGGAAAAAAAAGTTTACATGGTACAGGTAAGCTTATATTTACTATTGCACCATAAAATTAAGAAAAACTAGTGGTGAAAACTTTAAAATCATTCTAATGTTGTTTTACTTTTTAAACAATTAAATAAATTACTGTAATTTTTGAAATGATAACATAAATAACATAAACCTATAACTTGATATTTTTCTTCATAAGAATATGTTTTTACCATATCAATAGTCGATAATTCTTCACTTTTATGCTGTCAGTCTAAGCAAGAGTTTAGAACTTCAAATACCATTTTTTCTTCTTCAACCATCTGATGTACTGATGGGATGATTTCTTCTTGCTGAGTAAACAGTGTTTGTAAGAGGAATATAAAGTAACCTTGTCCCAGACAATAAGCTCACTAAGTGAATAACTACAGAAGGAAAATAGGAATTTTAAGGAGAGTCCCTAAAAATTCTTGTAAGTCACAACTTATTTGACTAATATGAGATTCTGAGGAAGGAAGAAGAAAGAGAAGAAGAAGAACTGTGACTTTCAATACTTCTGGCAGAGAAGTATTCCCTTCCAACTCTGCCATACTGTTATTGTTACATAAACAACCAGAGATGCTGCAGCCTGTTGGAAAAAGCACTACAGAATGAAAGACAAGTCATTCCTTCTCACCACTTAACTGAGTAAGTGAAAGAAACCATAATGTGTTTATGAAATAACAGAATTACAGAGTTGGAAGGGACCTTGGAGGTCTTCTAGTCTAATGCTCAAGTAGGAAAGCCAATGCTCAAGTAGGAAACCCTATACCACTTCAGACAAATGACTGTCCAATCTCTTCTTAAAAATCTCCAGTTATAGAGCACACAAAACTTCTGAAATCAAGCCATTCCACTAATTAATTGTTCTGTCATGAACAATTATTTCTAGGTTGGTTCTCTCCTTGATTATTTTCCATCCACTACATCTTGTCCTGCCCTCAGGTGCTTTGGAGAATAGCTTGACTCCCTCTTCATTGTGGCAACCCCTGAGATATTGGAACACTGCTATCATGTCACCCCTCGTCCTTCTCTTCATTAAACTAGGCATACCTAATTTCAGCAACCGTTCCTCGTATGTTTTAGCCTCCAGTCCCCCAATCATCTTTGTTGCTCTTCTCTATACTCTTTCTAGAGTCTCAACATTTTTTTTATATTGTAGCAGCCAAAACTGGATGCAATATTCCAAGTGTGGCCTTACTAAGGCATTACAAAATGGTATGATGAAAAGTTCCTCAAAATTATTTTCTCCTTTGAAATAAATTGTAATGACAAATTCATTTTCATCAAATTGAATTAAAACTGGTTAAAAATATATGGTTCTGGTTTTTTTGCACATGCATTAACTGAGAATAATGGTAGTTAAAAACCCAATACATTTAGCAATGATGGAGAAAGATTGAACTATATGCTATTGAACTACAATGAAATCTGATTCCTCACCTTCATTATTTTGTGTTTCTTCTCCAATACTCATTCTTTTCATTATTTGGGGATTAGAATGAATCATAATGCATTATGTAATGTATGACATCAATCATATAAAAGATGAGATATAAATATTGCACATATACAACATAACAAAACAAAACATAATGTAGCATATATACCTGGTTTACTTGCCATAGACACCAGTGGTAGGAAATCTTTTGATGTATAAAATCCTTCTTCTATTCCCAATCCCTGAAATACAGATTCTTTCTTTGGGTTTGGTAGACCTAAGACAGTAAATATTCAACAATGAAATGAAAGAAAGAAAGAAAGAAAGAAAGAAAGAAAGAAAGAAAGAAAGAAAGAAAGAAAGAAAGAAAGAAAAGGAAATATGTTTTTTTTCTGAAAAGGCATATGAATTGTCAGAAGATTTATGTTTTGGCAACCAGTTCTTTCTCTCTGGTAATTTTATAGCAGAGGCAGGATTTGAAGCGCAAACTTTAAATGAGTAGCCCAGTAAAATCTAGATAAACATATTTTGCTGCTGAATTGATTTGTTTAAATGTCTGACAAAAAAGGAAACAATTTTACACATTTTCCCACATAAGCACTTTTGTATATATTGGGATGATATACCCCTTTTAAAGTTCCTTTCTGCTATAAGATGTCACACACAAAATTTTTTTTTTTTTTTAAAAAAATATTCTGTACATATACATCAGGAAATGTATTAAAACTTCTGGTTTTTGTCTTTTTTTTTTTTTGCTTAGTGTAATAAATGATACTTGAGAAGGATTTATATAACCCATTTGAACGTAACAAAAAAATGACACATTAATCCCAATAGTGTCAAAACAATGTCTTTGTGGTCTCTCAAAGCCTCTTATACAACATTCAGGACAGTGTCAGTTGCCATTTTATTTTAGGTCTCTCAAAGCCTCTTATACAACATTCAGGACAGTGTCAGTTGCCATTTTATTTTAGCTAGAAGTCTCAATCAGCAGTCAAGAGAAGAAAAGTAACTTTTCTTTAGTTAAAAAAAAAGATTGTTTCTGGTGGAAGACACATAGTATCTCAAACAATCGCGATAAGCAAGTTGGGAGGACTATATAAAGATTTCGGTCTCAATGGCATTTATGTGGTTAATGATTGTAAGGATATTTTCTCTGAATTTTTTGTGAGGCAACTGACAAGAGTATAATTCAAGTGTCAATCAAAAGGGAGAAATGATGCTGTGAGCAGAATGTGCTAGCTGAGCTGTTTTGTACACAGCTCTAAGTGTGAATTCAGAAGGAACGAAACCTGACTATATTTCACAGGAAGATGTCCAAGAAAACAAAGGCTGAAAGGGCACTTGACCCTTGAGTATGCATAAAAGGCCAATGAAATGGACCTGGTGAAATCAACGTTGTCCCTTCAACCTGCTGAAAGCTGATGAAGAGAGAGGAGAGAATATAAAGAAAAGCAGCAGCTGAGGAGTTTGGGCCCAAGAGATTTAAAAGACAGAACATAGACCACCACCACCCACTTCCAGCATTAGGCCTGTCTCCTGTGAAGCTAGGTTGTGCAAGGCTAGCAGAGAGAAGTAGTTGTGTGGTTGAAAATGCCCTCAACATCAATGTCTCCTAACCTAAACAAACAGCATAGTGAATTGGGACAGAAACACAAGCAAATCGGGGCTTCAGGGCTTCAGGGCTCATCCATCTATGGTCTGAGAAAAAATTAGCAGAATGTAGTTGTTAATTTGCTGGTTTGCTTGAGGTGCTGTCTCTGGATAATTGTTCACAAGGAGCAACACTTGGATTGAACAAATTAGTGATGGGAGAGTAGACAAAAAGTCAGTTAGGGTGAACGGTGTCTGGACAGTTCCATAGGAGAAGTATCATGGGCAGAGCAAATAAGGCCAGGTTAGGGGTCAGAGTCAGAAGGTTGATCATATTCATGGCTTCTGTGCAGAGAGAGTTCATTTGCAGGGAGGAACAGTTAGTAGTGTTAATGCCAAATGGAGTAATCATTGAATGAATACAACCAGGATCTATACAGGGGAAACCGGTGGGGATGGGAATGTAGTGTGAGTGGTCTGTTCTTTGTAGATTGTTCCCTGTAGGGTGATCATCTGGAGAGTTATAGAAGGATTGTATACATTGAACACCCGGTGTTTCCTTCATTTATCTGAATTATTTGGGGCTGGATCACCTTTTTTATGTTATTGGGGGGGGGGCATGTTAAACATCCAGAGAATGAACTTCTTAGCATTTCAACAGGAGGGCAGCTAGAGGACAAAGTGTTGACGGACTCAGTTGCAGCAGTAGATTCAAATGCTCCAAGTTTGCATCGACTGCAATTGTTTGTTCTTCTCCAGACAGAGTGCCAAACAACTGAGCCAGTAGTTCTTCTTCATCTGCTGTAGGGTTGACTGATCTCTGTAACTTCTCCTTAATTAAATCCAGAATGTTGTGCCTATCTGGTCCTAACCTTGGAATTGGGGAAACACTCTACCATGTAGGTGGTTGCCGGCTGAGATTATGAACTCTGAGGCTTATGCCATCCTCTCTCGCAGGCTTGGCTCTCCTCCCAGAAATTTGCAGTGGCCGTGCACTGCTATTGTGAAGGATATGTGTAGGCGTAATTGGAAATCCCCTTACAAAATTTTTAAATTTAAAAATCATTAAAGGGAATGTGAAATGCCTAAAAAAATATTATTCTTTCAAGGCCATGCCGTCTGGGAAGATGGGAGATTTCTGTAAAGTTGCTGGAATATATTCTACACTGAAGAAGTTGTGAGAGGGAGTGTAGTACTGCTTGTCTGTTATGCTACTATCTGAGTTTGAGAATGCTGTATCAGCTTTGTTAATCTTTGACCAATTTTCCTTACTGTGTATTAATTTCCATCTTCCTCCTCAACAAGTCCATTCCCGTGTCACCCAAATCTGTAACCAGATCGATTCTTTCCTCATTCTTTGCCTAAGGAAGTTCCCTGGTGCATATATATTAATAGGTGGGGATTTCAAGACAAGAGTTGATTATAATAAGGAAGCTGTCATGGTTCTGACAGATGAAGCTCTTCAAAGAACTTTGAGGCATTGTTTACCTTAAAGAATCTTTATTCGAGAAGCATAACATTGGCACTAACATAATTGAAGCCAAAAACTGAATTCCCTCCCTTGAGCACATTATCAAAGCACAATTCCCTCCTCCAATTAACAGTCATAAATCACATTCCCCAATTAGTTTAAAGAGTGGGCTTTCTCTCCAGCTGACCAGCCTGCCAATTCTTATCATCTCTTATTTCAACAACCTTGATTCTCACACTAGGTTTAGTGTTATTATGTCTAGCTGAACTCTCATGCACATCTCCCCCCTCCCCAGCATCATCTAACTCTAAAAGCAAAAAGAAGAAAATGGCTACATCTCCATCTGTTGTCAAAGCAAAAACATCCGATGTTAGCAGCGTTGACATCAGCTCTCTATGAACATTTCAATGCCTGTCTCCCTGAATAAGTAATTGAACCACTGTATGTGGCCAGATCCTTCAGAGATACAAAATATAACCTAGCTAACTTTAGTTTGCTACCTTTCATAAATAGGCTTAATGTGCAAATGTTAAATGGCTTTGTCCAAAACAATTTCCAGAGGCAATATACTTTTTGGTCACTTTACAAGTTATCCTCTATAGGTTATGTAATAATTTCTAGAGACCTGGCCCCTTGCATAGTTCCTAGGTCTGAAAGTGACCACTTTTCCTAATGTTCATTTGCAAATTTAGACGACGCTTAATGAGGAACTTAGCTAAGGCCCACTTAAAATGCCCAATGGGCGGCAGCTCTTACGGGAGTTAGCTGAAATGACTCCCTTGAAAGATAGGGTAGCCTAATGTTTCACTGAGTGGAAAGTGCATACTTTTAATCTCCATAATTTTAGGGCACGCTCAGACCTAAATTAGCAAGAATACTTGATGTATGCCACGATCTCATAGCTAAACTCTAAACTTTTGTAACAAAGGCAATAATAACCTGATCAGGGGACAAAAGCATTCTACACTTAACAAATCTTGCATAGCTCCCAAAGCTGCATTATTAGAATCCTCTGCTTCCTCACTGAATGCCAAGTTACCAGATTACTTCCAAATTGTATAGGAGCAGAAAAAAATATATATAAAGCTCTGATCGGAAAGAAAAAAAAAAAACCCAAGATCAGAAGAAAATATGTTCACAGATAATCAGAGCTACAAAGTCCATAAATCATTCCTTACATACTATAATGAATTGCTCCCATTTGTTCCCAGCATTACACATTGCATTGTAGATCCCCTCAAGTACTTGGGCATACATTTTCAAAACCTTTATTGTGATCTATATGCTAACACCTATGTGATGGATGTACCTTTATTTATACTACCATAGTGGCCCCCAGTCATGTGCAAGGAAATTAAAAATCTCATTAATCAGTTTAACTGTGGTAAAGTCCCCAGGAGTGACCACACACACACACACACACACACACACACACACACACACACACACACACACCAGCTAATTAAATCTAATCCAAATTGGTGGGGCATTGCTTTGGTTTCCTTTTCATACATTAACCACACAGTAAGATTCCAGAGGACTAGGGAAAAGCTATAATTGTTCCTTTATATAAAAAGGATGATAGGAATGATGTAGCTAATTATAGGCCAATTAGTCTATTGAACATCATTAACAGCAACCTTGTTCACCAAACTCTAAACCTGGGGAATAGATGAGGGAATAATTGACCCTGACCATCCAGATTTTCAGCTGGGATGAAGCACTATAGACCAGAGATCCCCAACCTTTTGGGCACCAGGGACCAGTTCCGTGGAGAAAGGTTTTTCCGTGGACCAGAGGGGGTGTGGTTTTGTGTGCTGCCTAAATCCCATGGATGGGGCTTTGCTTGTTTGTGTGGACCGGTTGCTGGCATGCCGCGGTCCAAAACTGATCCATGGACTGGGGATTGGGGACCACTGCTATAGACCATTGTCATCAGAGAGTTGATTTCTGTGCCTTAATTACCTGATCGACATCTCCCTATTCTACTCTGGGCTGATGATGTAATTTCTCTCTCCTTATCTTCTGTAGGCACGCTGAAAGTGGTATCCTACTGTAATGAGGGATAGTTAGGAATCAACTATGATAAATCTAATGCTTTATTTTTTTTCAACGAAAGACGAAGGCACAATTGATCCCTAAGTCAAACTTGGGAATCAAGTTTGATTCCCAAGTCAAACTACTTGGGCAAAATATTAAAAAATTAACAACTC